AACATGGAAAAATCCAGGAGCGAACCTGGTACAGACCACAGGTATTCCAGCTCTCCTGTGCTTCCAGAGATTACTCCCAACCCCAAAACGGAAAGGGGTAGATTATGTAATGCCTATTTCATAAGTGAGTGAGATGAAGGTTACCCAGACAATTAGTGGGCAAGACGGGACTCAAATCCACCTCGATCTGGCTGTTCCCCATGACACATGTTTTTCTCCCACATTTGGTTGTGTCCCTAGCACTTTGGGCACTTGCAAAGTGACCAAGTATGACCCAGAGAGGAGGTACCAAAGGAAGCGTGAAAAAAGGAAGGGCTCAGTTTAGACAAACAGCATTTTTATCACAGCAAACATAAGCCCATGAATGTTACATTTGGAGCTCTTCCTCTTTCTCACCCAAAGGCTAAGTTAGCAGTCACCCAAAGCCTTGTGCATTTAAGCATTAGCTGTGCTTAGCTAAGCTCTGTGGCTTTGGGCTGTATAAGGGTCATTTAACAGGTGGAGGGGGAAGAATAATGTTATTAATCAAGCTCTCCATCATTAAGACTTTTTTCCTGCTTTGCTTTTTCAAAACCACGTCATTAAGACTTTTTTCCTGCTTTGCTTGTTCAAAACCACAAAGTGTAATGAAGGACTCCTTTCCAGCTTAGGAAGAAGGCATCACTCTTTCCCACACATTCCTGGAGATGGACCAAAGGAGACCCCGACCACCAAAGAAGCTAGAGTCCAAGGGTCCCCAAAATTACCCAGAGTACACCCTGGCCCTGGTCCAGAGTCAGAGACCAGAACAGCCCCCACTAACCTCAGGCAAGTCACACCCCTTCTCTGACACTTCCCGATAGTGCCATGGGACTCGGGAGTTGACTAAGGACCTCAAATAACTCAAGGAGACAGTTGTTCTCACATAGCAGGACGGTTCCATTCTGTTCTAGAAGGTCAACAGAAGGAAATCCTTTTACTGATGTATAATTCCACCCATGGTACCCTTTCTCTACAGTATGAGTTCCAGCGATATTTATAAAGTGAGAGAATACTCCTGAAATCTCTCCACTTGTATTCTGACCTTTTGGGTTAAACAATCATCTCTCTTGTACAAAATATGGATCCTGCTCTGAAGGCCACATTTCTAGCACTTTGGGCACTTGTAAAATGATTGAGTACTACCTAAAAGAGGATGCACCAAAGGAAGCATGGGAAAAGGGAGGGGTCAGTTTAGGCAAATAGCATTTTTATCATAGAAAAGATAAGCCCATGACATGCTACATGCCAGGCACTGTGCACTCATTACCATCTGATCCCATGAGGTAGGGATCACAAGACTCTAGGATGTACCCAGAGCTCCCCATCTGGACCTCAGGGAGACGGGCCACATTTGCACATTCTTGAGGCCTCTGTAGGAGCTGCACTTTCAATCTGGAATGCTCTCAGGTCTTCCTCTGCCAAACCCAGTCCTCCACTTTCGCTTTATGCACCTGACCCTCAAGAAATTACCCAAACATCACTCTGCTAAGGAAGTCAAGCCTTCTCTGACCCCACATGGCCCTCGGTCACCCTCCATGAACCCCCAGGCCTGGACCTCTCTTGAGACTCAGCACAGTGTGTTCTCACTTATCTGGTGTGGGTGTTTCATATCTTCCTCCCCCAGTCTGTAAACTCCATGAAGAGGAAGACCATGCCTGTTTGCGTTCCACGTGTGTCCATCTGTCCTGCTCTTCAGGACAAACAGGCACTCAGAAATATGGAAGGAATGCAAGAATTCCACCTGNAACTCCATGAAGAGGAAGACCATGCCTGTTTGCGTTCCACGTGTGTCCATCTGTCCTGCTCTTCAGGACAAACAGGCACTCAGAAATATGGAAGGAATGCAAGAATTCCACCTGTGTCCATCTGTCCTGCTCTTCAGGACAAACAGGCACTTGGAAATACGGAAGGAATGAAGAATGACTTGTACTTCAAAGGCCGCAGGTGTCCCGTAAGGAGAACACTGACACCTAGCGACCGCCTGCCCACTCCTGGCCTTCTCTAGCTGAGAGCACGTGAATCGGCCTCAGGAAAACAAGTTTTCTAGAACTGGATATATAGACGATGCTGAGGGGAGCTAGCACAGCACCCAGACATAGAGGAACCTGATTTCTAAGCAAAGACTAAAGGGACCAGGGCTCATCTTGCTGCCGCACGTGCCAAGGACACATCATAAAAGTCCTGTGATTAGCTGGCATCAAAGCACCTCACAGGTGAGGAGAGCAAGGCCTGCAAAGAGGAGCAAATACAGACAGTCAGAGCCTCTCTCAGCGGCCTTCCCAGGCGGTGCTCGTGGTAAAGAACCCGCCTGCCAATGCAGGAGACACAAGAGACACCGGTTCGGTCCCTGGGTTGGGAGGATACCCTGGAGAAGGAAATGGCAACCTGCTCCAGGATTCTAGACTGGAAAATTCGCTGGGCAGAGGAGCCTGGTGGGCTACAGTCCGTGGGCAGCCAAGAGCTAGACATAACCGAGCACATAATTTTCCCTCTCCCTTGCCTTCCTAGAGCCTCTCTCACCAACCCCTGGAGAGTTCAGGCCTGCACGGCTAGCAATGTGTTGCTCCGCGTGTGTCCTCACTGACAAAACACTCCTCAGATGACCCTTTGTGTTAAGCAAAAGCTTCAAGAGCCTCCTCGGGGGGCTCCCTGGCTCCACTCTTATATTTCCACAGTTGATTCTCACCCTGAAACCAGAGACATGGAGATGTGTATGTAATTTGGCTTTTTTGACTTTTTTCTACTGTTGGTTTGCGGACCTCTGATGCACAAAGTTAGATGATTTGAGGTGCGTGGTTCATGAGTCAAGCTCATTGCTGTACCATGCATGGTTAGGCTTTATGTATTCATCCGGTTAGCCTCAGCTACTTAGCTAATTTTAACAGTTTAATAGCGAAAATCGCTCAGTCATGTCTGACTCTTTGCAACCCCATGGACTGTAGCCCGCCAGGCTCCTCTGTCCGTGGAATTCTCCAGGCAAGAATACTGGAGTGGGTTGCCATTCCTTTCTCCAGGGGATATTCCTGACCGAGGGATTGAACCCAGGTCTCCTGCATTGCAGGCAGATTCTTTACCATCTGAGCCACCGGGGAAGCCCTAACACTTCAATAAACCCCCACAAACCCAGCACCCAAAACATCAGCTAGAAATCTGGCTGCTTTCATATAACTGATGCTCCCTCATGCCATCACCCTGCCTACCCTGATTCAGGATTACCATCATCCTTAATACTATGTTCATCATTTCCCTGATTCCTTTTTTAAACTGTCTATTGCATGCATATTTATTCTTAAAAGGTAGTATATTTGATGTGTGTGTTTCAACTCAAAATAGAGGGAAGGGTATCATGCTATGCAAAATGTACCTTTGGGATTTCCTGTCTTCATTTAACATTATATTCATCCCTCTCCTATTAAGTATCATTACAGTTCATTGATCTTGGTTGTAGTACAGTGTTCCCTTCTATTCATAGTTCACACTTTAATTAACTGCTCTCCCATTGATAGTCATCGATGTAGTTTCCAGGGGACTCCTTCTGCTATACAAAGCTAATTCTATCAACCTCCTGCTAACCATGTATCTTCAGCAAGTCACTGCCCTCTAGATAGCGTCCAAACTCCAGGACCTAGCTTACAAAAGCCGAAATAATCAGGTTCTTTCTGATCCCTCTGGCCTCTCCTCTGCCCTCCCCCTCCCTTCATCTCTAGGTCTGAGTCATGGGGAATTTCTATAGGTCTTTGCACAGACCATGTTCTTTTCTGCCTCAGGTTATCCGCCTGATGTTCTGCTCACTTATTCTCATCTCCTCTCTGTTCTCTATGGAGCCCTGACCAGTCTCCAGGCACTGGCACTTAGCCCAGTAGGATGCCTTGGGAGGAGCACATAATCCATAACATCCTATGGGACTTGGTCACTGGTCCACCAGATTGTCTTCTCTGGAGGCCCAGGACTGTCCAGAAGCTGCTGCAGAGGAAAGAATGGGGACCAAATAGAGAGGCTTTATCTACCTCCTTCCTCACTGAAGCAGTGGCATACTATTCCTGGTTTTGCAGCTGAAAACTGCATTTGGAAAAAAAAGTTCCACAGATATGAGTTTGCAAAAAGGTGAACCAAATCATTCATATGGTCCTCTCGAGCCCTGACATGCCATAATCAAAAGCCAGAGAGACATAAAAAGGAACAAGAGGAGAAAAAATTTCACAATTAAGTATTCGGGCTCTGGATCAGACCAACATGGAGCAAATCACTCACCTTACGTTTCCTCGCTTGTAAAGTGGGCAGGAGAAAAAGATAAACCACATAGAATTGCCATCATGATAAATAAATGGTCAAGTGTCAGAAATTCCATATGAATCAACTCCATACTTATAAAGAAGTCATAGATCTGGAGGGTAAATTAAATGAGGTAACAAGGGCAGAGTGCTGAGGGAGAGGCTGCTAGGTTTTCACCAAACTCATATCTGCTTCCCTTAGGAAGACTGATAAATACACTTCCCTGTCTTCATCTGCAGACAGGTTGTGCCCCGTGGCTGAATGCTGGCTAGCAGAATAGCAGCCTAAGTGGTAATGTGCCATTTTTAGGCGTGGCCCATTTAAAACTTCTCACGTACAATCTCCCATGTTGTTTCTCCTTCCACAGCAGGCATCGAAGCACCAGATTAACACAGCACAAGATGGAACAGGCTGGGACCCTGAACCACCTCTCAGAGTAAGGCCACCCATCAATCAAAGTCATCTATTGAGGACTCTGAGAAGCAAGGAAGAACCTCAACCGGACTAAGTCATTGGGATTGGAGAATTTGTCCGTTACAGCAGCTAGTGTCACCAAGTTACACACGTGTTCACCACGTGTAAGCAGTCAGTACATGCTGGCCCTCACCATGCTGAGGATGCCCATCCCGACAGACAGAGGACCTGCAAGGCCAGGGCTGGGAGGGCTGGCGCCCAGGTGTGACCCAGGGGCCGTGCCGGGAGCTCACCTCCTTGGTGCCGTTGTCCTGGATGAGCGCGTACAGTGGCACCACACGGCTAATCTCCAGCAGTACCGGCGGGGGGCTCAGCTGCTCCTTGCCTGGGCGGCGGCAGAGGTGGCAGGTGGACGGACAGTGGCCTTTCTCCTCGCAGCGGATCTCCACCCCCGAGACGAGCTGGTCATCCGACAGCATCTGGGCCGTCAGCAGGCCTGAGAGGTAGGTGATGAAGGGCATGGACTTCAGCTCCTTCTTGCTGCCCAGCTCCGTGGTCTCTGGAGAAAGGGAGAGAAACTTCCGTAAAGGTTAAAAGGTCAGACTCTTGAACCCATCAAGATGTGCTAAGAGGTGGTTATCCACCAAAAAGGGAAAACACATGATGTGACTCATGATGCTTTAGAAAGCACACCGATATGAGGGCTCCAAGACCAGAATGATGTCTTGTTCTACCACTGATATTAAATAACACTTTGCTTTCTCTGGGCCTCATCTTCTTTGTATTTAAGGTCAGCAGGTTGTACTCTTGTGTGAAAATTGTATAAATCTTAATTATGTTGAATTAGTTCATGGTGCTTTTCAGGTCTATGCTATCCTTCTACTTTTCTGTATATTTATTCTATTAACTTTTGAGAGTTTGATATGGAAACTCCAACTAAAAATCTTAATGCATCTACTTAAAAAATGATTGTAATATATAGCAGAATTATATGTAACTTTGTTCTGTATATTTCAAGTCTCCTGTAAATGTGTTATCATATTTTCATAATTCACAAAAACGAGAAAAACAAATTCAGGCAGTAGGTTGGGTTAGAGGGTTTTTTCAAGGACCTTGCAAGATATAAATATTCCTATATATTTTTCCCAATAAGAAGTTCCTTTCTTTACTATCAATTTTATAAATTCTACCTTATTTGTCCTGTTTTCCATGAAGTTCCATGTAATGGGGGAAAGACAAGCTTTGGAGTCAACTTCAGTTTCAATCTCAGTTCTGCTGGACAGCAGCCCCACTGCTTTGGGAAAGCCTCTGAATATCCAAGAGCCTTAGTGATTAATTCTGTCACGTGTGGTTAACAATAACAGTTATGACTGGTCGATGAGCGAGGAGGTGGGCCTGTCTGGGAAAGGCATTATTTCCCCTTTCTTTTCATGCTCATCTGTTCCCTTATTCAATTGTCTGGTCCTCGGCACGCTGTCGTGGGCATGAGTGATGCGTGCCCTGTTAGGCACTGTCCTTCTTTAGCTCTGCATCTGGCATTTCACACCCCTGTGCCTTTGCCCGCCCTGGCCTACTGTCCTCTCTGCCTCTCCAAATGGTGCTCCAGTGCCATGTGACCGTCTTCAGGAAGTCTTTCTTCCTCGCCCCAACCCTGCTTCTCTGATAGGTATTTCCGTTTGCAAGACCTTACATTGTTACGTTCACTTTCTCATCCCATTTTGTGTTGGCCTCTACAACCTTATAATCGGTTCACGGAGACCATGGACCATGTCTCCCATCCTGCCCCCACCGACTCAGTGACTAGCTCAGCGCTAGGGATATACTTGACACTTTACCAAAGAGAGAGATTATATAGCTGCGAATGGTTAGAACAACACGTATAATCCAGTCTGTGAGTGTGTGCTAAGTTGCTTCAATCATGTCAGACTCTCTGTGACCCTATGGACAGTAGCCCACCGGGCTCCTTTGTCCATAGGGATTCTCCAGGCAAGAATACCAGAGTGGCTTACCGTGCCATCCTCCAGGGGATCCTCCTCACCCAGGGATCAAACCCACATCTCCTGCAGCCCCTGCATTGCAGGCAGGTTCTTTATCACTGAGCCTACTGGGGTAATCCAGTCTAGAGGCTCCAAAATTCATCTGAGGGGTTCTAGGGATTCCAAAAGCCATCTCAGCAGTTGCTTGAGGAGGGCAAAAGGAAGACTGAGTGGGCAGTACTCTATATCTGCATCTCAGCTTCAAATAGAGCTGTCCCACTTGTATCTCATTTACAGACTGGCCTTCCACGTAAGATTTCATAAGGAGAAAGGGCTCAAAGCTTGAAGAAGCAAAGTGATTTGTAGAACTCAGAGAGTTCTATTTACATCATGGATGTAAATGTAAATCAAAGCTGTGCCATGTACAGTCTGAGTGACAAGGCAAGGAGGTCCTATGCTGAGGGACAGAGCTTGGCCCAGATGGCAGCTTCATCCAATCCTAGTGAAGTCAGGGCAAGTTCCAGCCTTGGTGGAATAGATGGGCCCTGGGCAAAGAGGCCTGGGAGAAAGAAGGTCGTCTCTTGCTTTCGCTCTCAGCTTGCAGTGACTTGCAGCTGATCTGGAAATGGGCTTGCCAATTAGAAAGACAAATAAACGCAGTCTTCATTCATTACTCTTTGGGCCCTCGGGCTTCAGATCTGGGCTCCACCTTTTCTGTCTGGCTGTCAGCAAATGCTTATGAGCATCGGATCAAAGGCTCTAGGGGAAGAAGACAAGACGGATTCCAGCTAACCAATCCTTCAGAGGGATTAAAGAAGGGTAGTTACTAAGATAAACAAAACAAAGCTTCGGAGAAGGCATCTCAGCAGCTGGGGAGACAGACAGTCTTGCGCACGGACATGTCAGATGATGATGATGGCAGTGATGATGACCTTAGGAAGTACAGGCCAGAGGGATAGTTTTGGAGAAGGGTGACTTCCAACTTGGGAGAGAAGAACTCTTCAGGGGAGAAGGTCAGGGAAAGTCAAAACTGCAAGGACATCAGGGAGCAGTTAGTCCACACTGCTGACCCAGCGTTCACTGAACTATGGTCCATGGGCCAAGTCCAGCCTCTGCCTGTTTCTGTAAAGAAAGTTTTATTAGAATACGACCACTCTCATTTTTTATATGCTGTACATGGCTACAAATGGCAGAATTAAGTAGCTGCAATGAGGACTCCATAAGCTCACAAAGCCCAGAATATTTACTATCTGACCCTTCTGGAAACCTCTGCTGCGTAGCCCTAAGTTATGGACGGAGAAACTGAGTCTTAGAGAAAGGTTACATAGGAATGTGGCAGCATGATGGGTTAAAGGAGAAAAATAAATAGATCATAAGTACACTTGGATTATTAGCCTCCAAGGAGGAAAGATAGAGTGGGGTATCTTTTCTCCATGAAATATCTTTTCAACATGTTTTTCAATAGTTTTCAAAAGTCTAATCTGGTAAAATCCTCTCATTTTAAATGAGAGGAAATTGTGTCCCAAAGAAGGAAAATGACTTTCCGAGGTGACATGATGAGTTAGTGAATCCTTCCAGCACATGACCACAGTCCTGTTAACCATTTATCACTTAAACTACTATTGTTATCTCATATTTTAGGATACAGATGCCCCAACCCTCAGAGCACCTTGCCATAATTTAACTGTGAAAGAATGTGTAACGTGGTGCTGGGAGCAAGAATTCCCTGGATTAAACAAACATTCCTAGCCATCTGGTTAAAGATCTAACTAACAACAGAACAAGCTATTGATCTTTGTTGATCAGTTTTGTCACATAATTTCTTTTTCAATCTATTGGTTCAAAATACAGGGTTAAAAGCCCACAGACCAAGCTGAAAACTTCAATCCAGTATCAGTATAGAATCCATGCTGAATTGAAGGGCTTATTTTGCAAAAGAAAGACACTTGGGTATCATCTGGTCCAAACCCGTTGCTTAACAGTGAGGAACCTGAGACCTCGATGGAAAAATGGATTTACCACTAAGTCCCATGCACATTTATTTACGGAGATCCTTTTTGTAAGGATTGTGTCATGCCTCAGTTATGATCTGGAAGAGAGTTACAACAGGGGAGACCGTCAGCCATTCCATTAATTATTCCTCTGTAGACACTACAGTTGCAAAAGCTAATTGCTTCTGATCCAACCTCGCTCTGTGGCTAAAGTCATCCTTTCAAAAGGCAAACTATACTCTTCTGCTTAAAACTCTTTTTAGGAGGGTGTTCACTGTTCTGAGGATGAAGACCAAAATCCGTAACCATGGCACATAGGTAAGGAGGGACCTAGACCACACTGTGTGCCTCTCGGGTCTCATCTGTCATCCTCTTCCTTCCGGTTCCCCTACTTCCAGCTACAGTGGCCATTACGCTCCTGCCTACAACCTGTCCTTTCTCTGTGTCTTGGTGCATGCTCTTCTCTCTGTACAGAATGCTTTCCCCATCCCAGCCTCTGCCCCTGCCCTCTCAGCGCAAACTCCCACTCATCCTTCAGATCTTAGTTTCTCAGACACACCTAGCCTGAACTCCATGCCCGTGCCTCTAATCTCTGTGAGAGCTTCATACTAAACTTCCTCACAAGCATCCCTTTCTACGTATCACCTGTAGCATCTTCAGATGAGAAGCTCCGTGAGGGCAGGGTCACTGGCGGTCCTTCTGACAACCATATCCACTTCACACATCCCCTGGAGCACATTAGGCTTTACAGTAATATTTTCAACAATGTATTTGAATACATGTATATGTATATGCTAGCTGTGCTAGCTCATCGAAGCCCTGATGAGTCTAAGAGCCAAGATTTGTGAATTTCGGGATTGACAGTTAATTGATGGCTTGCAGTCAAGGGGCAAGTTCTTCTCAAAGTAAAATTCACTCTCTCAATTGAAAGGTTAACAGATGAATAGCTGATCAATTTGCCAGTTGTTCTGACCGCCTCTGGGTTCTCACATAGACCCTTGCCATTGAAGGGATGGGAGAGTTCAGTTGAAACAGGCTGCGTTTAACAGGCCAAGGATAAAGAGCATTTTTGAAGAGACTTATCCTCTGTTCACATTTCCCATCCCTCTGAACAATGCTTCCAAAATAGGATCATGTCTGGTTTCAAGCCCAATTCAGTTCCAATGACACTACAGCCCATTCATTTGAGAACCTGCCAACTGAACTCTCTTTTTTCTCCTCCCAAATTCCTGCTGGGTATTATTTTGTTGCCACCAGAAAAAAATTAAAAAAAGGCTCGGTTGAAGTGACAACTCCTTGTTGGGAGGGCAGCCAGGGCTTTTCGGCAGGAGGTGATGGCACCGCTTGCCCTCATCCAGAAAACAAAACAAAGGCCTCAGACTGAGGGCTTCTGGGAGAGCCAAAGCCGCTTGAATGTTTGTTCAATATTCGGCAACAGTGCAGGGCGCTGCCTCCGAGTCAGACAGGCTTGCTTTGGCAATAGGCTTGCACTTGAAGCATTTAAAGACTCCACAGGGACCAGAGGGGCTCAAATTAGAAACGTTAAGGGTGGGGGAGAGAGGGGGAGACTTTTATATCATAAAGAATGGCCTTTATTACAGCTATGGCCTCCCAGGAATTGCTGAAATGGGATCATTTCTTAGGCGGAGTTACTGTCTCCTGTTGGAGGAAAGCAACTGCTGTGAAGCTTGACTCAAGGACCCACAGAAATCTCCTTCACAAAGGGGAAGTAGCCGGCTGAAACGGCATCAGCAGAGCAGCAAGGACCACGCTTTCGCACTGTGCAACCTGAACTGCCCAGCCTGGTGGTCAACATCCAACGTCAGCAGTGTGCCCTTTACAAATAACAGTACCGACCTGAAAGGCTACTTGTAGCGATCAAACGAGGTGCCTGGCAGAAGCTTAGCGCTCAGTCAGTGCTAGTTATTATCAGTGTTGTCGCTGCGATTGCTTTGATTATCACTGTGCTGTTGTTGTAACAAGATGTTAAAACTGAAATTTCTACACCAACAGAATGGAAGTGAAATCCCCAAGCCAGGCCCCTATAGGCAGAAGTTACAAAGGAGATGAATCCTCACTGGTTTCATAACTCTAGAAGCCTCAGCCAGAACAAGGAACTAAAACGAGGTCAGAGAGGAGACAGAAAGGATTTAGGGGAGATTTGCTTTGGAGACAGCTATTACCTAATGTTTAGAGTCCCCAGCACCCCAGGTGGGTCATGTGGGGCATGCTACCTCGTAATCCTAAATTTTGAGCTAAGGGGCCTCAAAAGAGTGCCTCTTAGAGAAACCGCGACATGTCTCAGCAACCA